ATGCCATCCCTCTGCTTAACAACTAATTCCTACAACACTGTCAAATAATTTACTAAGAATATTACTATTATTCTTCTCTTCCTTCCTAGTTTCTATCTCTTCCCACTTATGACTATAACCATGTTGCTTTTATCTTTCAAATTATATTGTTTTTATTTATTTCCTAATACAATTTGCTAGCTTATTAGTAACCTTGACTATCACTAAGTGTTGCATCTTTTTATTCTTGGTGAATGTATTTTATTCTCCTTGTGTACACTGAGAGCCTGGGCACCAAAGACAAATTCCTTGTGTGCCCAATCACACTTGGCCGATAAAGAATTCTATTCTATTCTATTCTATTCTATTCTAAACTGTGGCTGAGACCAGGGATGAAATTCAAATGTTGTTACTACCAGTTATATGGGTGTGGTTTGGTGGGTGTGGCAGGGGAAGGATACTGCAAAATCCCCATTCCCTCCCCACTCCTGGGGCCAGACAGAGGTGCTATTTGCTGGTTCTCCAAACTACTCAAAATTTCTGCTACCGGTTTTCCAGAACCTGTCAGAACCTGCTGAATTTCAACCCTGGCCGAGAGTGAATATAGCTTTAGAAATATGAAATTGGAGGTGGAAGTGGGGGAAGAATTGGTACTCTCCCTATTCCATCCCACCGAAAAAGAATCTCCTGTCTACCCAGCAGCAGTTGATGAAAATCACAAATTTCCCAGCCCAGCAAGCCAAGTGGAAACAGTGTCTCCCCACCCATTTTTGTTTTCAATACATGTTTTCTGGATTCAGATCTTGTGGAAACTACCCTGGCTCAAATTCAATCAAATGATCGAAAACTAACACTTTGGGGTATCCTCTGCATGTTGATTTCACTTTCATATTTCAGCTTGCATTGTTTCCAACCACAGGATAACTGTGGCATCGTATTGCTCACCCAATTCACTGTGAAATTTTGCAGGACCTGCTACATCACTTTCTTTTACAGAGGGGAGCCCAACCAGAAGACATCCATCTAGGCAGCTTAGTTCAGTTAGTCCTTGATTTACAACAGTTCATTTAGTGGCCACTGGAAGTTACAACAGCACTGAAAAAAAGGGAATGATGACTGTTTTTCCACGTTTATGACCCTTATGGCATCCCCATGGCCATGTGATCAAAATCCAGATAGAATAGAATAGAATAACCTTGGAGGTCTTCTAGTCCAACCCACTCCTCAGGAAGGAAATTCCACACCATTTCAGACAATTGGTTGTCCAATCTCTTCCTAAAAACCTCCAGTGTTGGAGCATTCACAACTTCTGGATGTGTACCACTGATTAATTGTTTTAACTGTCGGGAAATTTGCTGACAGATGCTTGTCAACTGAGTCATATTTATGATGGTTGCAGTGTCCTGGCTTCATATGATCACTGTTTTGTGATCTATTGACAAGAAAAATCAATGGGCAAGCTGGATCCCCTTTACCACTGTGTTGCTAACTTAACAGCTGCAGAGATTCATTTAACAACTGTAGCAAGAAAAGTCATACAATAAAGCAAGGTTCACTTCACAATTATCTCGCTTAGCAACAGAAATTGAGGACTACCTGAACAACTCTTTTTTTTAACTACATTGCCTGGGGAGAAAATCTTATGAAAGTTACTGTCTATAGAACCTGCTGGGCATTCCTCTCAAGCATTTGCCGAACTCCTGCTAAGTGAAGGTTTTATTTGATCAAATTTGAGAATATGATTTATCTCTTGGCAGCCAGGAAGGAGAAGCGTGAAAATCTGAAGGACAATTACTGTATACGAATTGTTAAGGAGGGGAAAAAGCACCCTCAAAATTCTTTTCACCAACTTCTACATAAGAAGAAAACATGCGTGCATGCGAAGGGGGGCACACTGCATTGTGGGTGTGAACACACACACACACACACACACTGTTAGCACACGAGGACGAAAGGCAGATGCCACCAATTGTTACAAAAATTATCTGATAAACACCATATTGGCCAACCTATGGGCGAGTTCACACATCAGCCGTAAACTGGATTGCCTGATTTTTCCTTAGCATCTTCTATACCCATGGTGGCAAACCTATGGCACGTGAAGCGCTCTCTGCAGGCACGCGAGCCGTCGGCCAAGCCCAGCTCCACCGCGCATGCATGCATGCCTCCCGTTGACCAACTGGCTTTGGGGCCTCTGCCGCACACGCAGGGGAGGTGCGTGCATGTGCGGGGGGCAGGGTCGTGCCTGCATACGCAGGGGTGTGCACATGAATGGGGGAGGGTGGAGCATGGGGGAGTGCAGCCCCCACTGCACCTGTTTTTGGTTTCCGGAGGCTTTGAGGGAGGCCTAAGCCCAAAATGAGGCCAGGGGGGTCGTGTACATGCATGGGGGCGGGGAAGTGTGAATATGTGTGTGTGCATGCGAAGGGGTGCACATTGCATTGTGCATGTGGACACACACACACACACACACATACACACACACACACACACTGTCAGCATACGAGGACAAAAAAAGTTAGCCATCACTGTTCTGTATGAACTTGGTCACTGTAATTTATTCAACAAACCGTGTTAAGGTCCAATTGCACAACTAGTTATGGATCTTTTCTTCTTTTGCTTTGACTCAAGCAATCTCACCCTTCCCTGCAGCCTCACACTGCAACAATGACATTTCTCAGAAGAAGAGAGGAAGGTGGCAGATAGGATGTTTAGATGTTTAGATGTTTATTAACATTTGTAGGCCGCCCTTTTCCCTGAGGGGACTCAGGGCGGCTCACATAAAATCAGGAAGGGGGGAATACAAACAATGACGTAGACACATATAATAAAAGTAATAAGCAACATACATTCATCATTCGGGAGGGGCGGCTATCCTTGTCCCCAGACCTGACGGGCTAGCCAGTTCTTAAGGGCTGTGCGGAAGGCCTGGACGGTGGTGAGGGTACGAATCTCCACGGGGAGCTCGTTCCAAAGGATGTGGGGCTACAGAACTTAATGTGATTGTGCAATGGGATACCCCCCCCCAACCCCCTCCCCAAAACCCAATACTCTAAAATGCTTCTCCCTCTTGATGTGGTGAGATGCTTTAGGTGATTATTATAACCACAGCTGGGGTTGCATGACCCATACTAAACCGATCACTTCTACAGATCTGAACTAAATCATTAACTTATCATTTGGGTTGTTCCCTTTATCTAATTAATCTAAGGTCAGCTAGTTTGTGGTATAGGATATTATGCAAACATTTTTTTTATTTATTCAATTGGTTTGCTTTCCATCTCGCCAGCAAACTGAGATCCTGAATTCAGACACTACACCTAAAAGGTGGAAAACGGAAACCTTCCAGATGTTGTGTGCAAGTTCTAGAATTCCATATTATTGGTCATGCTGGTTGGCGCCGCTGGGAATTGTAATTCATCAGGTCCTTGAGACTCAAGGCTCTCCTATCCATGAATTAACTGCAACTCGATATAGCAGGGTTTATTTCAAAATGAAATATGCATAAAAGAGTCGCCACGAGGACTGTGGCCGATTTTAATCATGATTTGTTGCCTAAGCCAGAAGAGACCGGGGTTTTGGACACTGCATTAAATCATAAAACATGCGTTCCAAACCACCAAGGCTCTGCCTGCAGATCATGCAACTCTCAAAGTAAACAACTATATTATAACTTTGTGATGTGCAACCCTAGCCAATTACAACGGTCTGTTCGGAGCCTGATAAAAGATTCAGGAGATGGTTTTGAAATCAGACTCGTGTACATTTTTTAGTTATCTGAGAAAAAGCCCAGTTTACAGTATAGCTTTTAGGAAAAGACCACACTAATAAATATAGCAAGCTCTATTTGTATTCATACATCCAGTTTGGTCTAATGGTTAAGGCACCAGGTAAGAAAGAGGGAGACTCTGAGTTCAAGTCCCACCTTAGCTATGAAAGCCAGCTGGGTGACGTTGGGCCAGTCGCACTCTCTCAGCCCAAGCTACCTCACAGGGTTGTTGTTGTGGTGGGAAAAATAGGAGGAGGAAGGTGTGTTGGATATGTTCACTGCCTTGAGTTACTTGTAAAAATAATAAAGGCAAGACTAAAGGAAGGAAGGAAGGAAGGAAGGAAGGAAGGAAGGAAGGAAGGAAGGAAGGAAGGAAGGAAGGAAGGAAATGAATGAGACTCTAAAGAGAAAGAAATCCAGTTGCCAAGTTTTAGCCACTCTTCTCATCAAACAAGTGACCCTGGGCGACATGCCAAAAGCTAAACAGCCTATCAATACTTAAAGCCATTATCATTAAAGGTAAAGGTAAAGGTTCCCCTCACACATATGTGCTAGTCGTTCCTGACTCTAGGGGGCAGTGCACATCTCCTTTTCAAAGCCGAAGAGCCAGTACTGTCCAAAGACGTCTCCATGGTCATGTGGCCGGCATGACTAAACACCGAAGGCACACAGAACGCTGTTACCTTCCCACTAAAGGTGGTTCCTATTTTTCTACTTGCATTTTTTACGAACTGCTAGCTTGGCAGAAACTGGGACAAGTAACGGGAGCTCACTCCATTAAGTTGCGTTAGGGATTCGAACTGCAAAACTGCCGACCTTTCTGATCGACCAGCTCAGCGTCTTAGCCACTGAGCCACCGCATCCCCTTTATCATTACTAATTATTTAAAAAAAACATGAAAACCATAAAAAAAGATTTTAAAAAGACAGAAAGCACAAAGAAATAACAGAAGAAGAGAGGTTAATAATTTTTTAACTTACTTTTTATTTATGTCCTTTATTTGCTACTCCTGTGATTTATACTTAGTGCTTCAAAACTAAGTACAAATCATATCATTGGCTTTAAAAAAATCTAAACTCACAAAGCCTGATCTTCCTAGCCTGAATCTCAGCTCAGCTTGAGATGCAAGAAGGTGTCTGAAATGGTTTCCTGCCAGAGTAGGGGGGGGGGGTTGGACTAGAAGACCTCCAAGGCCCCTTCCAACTCTGTTCCTCTGTTAATTGGAAAGACGGTATATTGATGGAAAACTCACCAGAGGAGATCCAGATACAGGCTGAGTCAACTGATCCAGAACTTGAGTCAGGCAAGGCCAGCCTCACATTTCAATTGATGAAGTATAGGACCAAAGGCTGCTGGTATCCTCTTGAAAAGAATAAGGCCAATTCAGCAAATCAGTCAAGCTGGTACAGTAGTCAGGGATGACTGCTTGACCAGCTCTTGGTAGTGAATAACGTTCCACCTCCTTTCCTAAAAACTCCGCCAATCTGCTCTGTTGAATTACCTATCGAACTGGAGATCAGTATTTCTCAACTTCAGAAACTTTTAAGTGGTGTGGACTTCAACTTCCAAAACTCCCCAGCCCAGCAACGGAAGTTCTCACCCCTTAAGACCTGCCGAGGTTGAGAACCGCTGCCGTAGACTGACTAGTTTTCATTTCTCCCCAAATACGTGTGGTTTGTTTTCTCTGGGTTCCTTTGGAGGAGCATTTCTCATGCCTACGTTTTTTTCCCCATGCACTTGTGCTGCAGGAAGTCTTAAGTCTGCGACCTGCTTCTGCGTTACTTCAGTTAAGGATTTATGGCTGCAGCAAATATGTTGCACAGATAGTAGAAGCTGGCCGCATGTGTCATTGGCAGCACAGAACAGGGCCTGCCTTTGCAAGACGACTTCCTGTCCACCAACCAGATGCTTTCCTAAAACACAAAAGATCCCTAGGAAGAGACTAGCTATATATCAAGATGGAGCTAAATGATAGTTTCCCTCCCATGGGTTCATAAGATTGGTCATTAATAGTTGGGTCCTGCTTTTGGGTCCCTGGAGATTATTTCTGTCTCGGTACAAACTAGATGGACTTTGCTTCCTTTTAGCAATGACAAAGTATTATAGCATCATATACGCTGGTAATAGCAGAGGTTCACAGCAGCCAAGCTGCAAACAGTGGTTTGCGGGAAACTATTTTCTCAAAGTTTGATGGCCACAGCTGTCCTTTTGAACAGGCTCCCTGCTTCACAGAATAAAGCTTCATAAAAAAAAAATTTTTTTTAAGAAAAAAAACTTACCAGGTGTGAAAGATTCAATCAATTTTTTAAAATGGATTTTTAAAATGATGAATTGCAAACTCTGTTCAGTCTGTCTGCTTGCACGGTTCAGGTTTCTCACGGTTTCTAACTGGAGAGGCAAGACAATCTTCCTTATTCACGCCAGGAAAGCTACATGGACTCAATGAAGCACACCAGAGTCAAGGAGACCCTCTCTATCTTTGCCAATCCTAGAGGCTGCAATAGTTGTCAGTCGGGCATAACTTGGTTTGATGTCTGTTTACCAAATCCTGACTCACAGGTAGTACCAGGGCCATCTTAACAGCATTATGGGCCCTGGGCAAAGTAGTCTAATGGGGCCCCTATGACAACTACACTATTTCCCTGAAAATAAGACCTCCCTAGATAATAAGCCCAATTGGGCTTTTGAGTGCATGCCCTCCACCAAAAATAAGCCCTCCCTGAAAATATTGCAACACAGCAACAGCCATGAGGTGACCATGCTCACTGCCTCCCCGAAAATAAGGCCAAGTGCTTATTTCGTGGGTCAAAAGAAAATAAGACCTTGTCTTATTTTCAGGGAAACACAGAACTCACAGGAATAAAAATGTAACTGGTCGATAAAATTAAACATATATTTATTTTATTGGCACTTCCAACAAAATCAGTGTTGAAACTTTTAAAAACATGCTGCGCAGCAACAACGAATCAACATGATAAACAGTTGAACGATACACAAGGCTTGAAAAGCACAATAATACTCAGTAAGCCATAGAGTTGCTGTATTTATATGATACAAGGTGCATTGAAGGGTTAACATACACAGCTAAGTGTGGGGCCCCTATGCTCATGGGGCCCACTGGGCAAGTGCCCATCAGGCCCATGCATTAAGACAGCCCTGGATAGCATGTCCTAAATACCAAATAGCTGCCAAGGAGTAAGTGGAAGGAGGTACTTATGCTGTGGTCCTGCCAATTGGGAGACTTTGGGCCGGTCACTCTCTCTCTCTCAGCCCAACCCACCTCACAAGGTTGTTGTTATTGTTGTTGTTGTTGTGGGGAACATGGGAGGGAAAAGGAGCACTAGGTATGTTTGCTGCCTTGAGTTATTTATAAAATAATAAAAGCAGGATGAAAGTAATCTAAGGAAACCAAACAAAACATCAACGCAGCACAACAGTGCTTCTGATTCCAGCCCAAGGTAAGTGGGTTTAGGATGATTCATACTCAATATCCCTACTTCACTAAGAATCCTTTGTAGTTGAACAGAAAAACACAAGAGCAAATTCCCAGGGCGGATGAGCTGAATTTAGTGGTATCAGATTTTAAACTGTTGCATTTTGCCCCAGGTTTCTGGATGACAGTTTATTGTTGGGTCCTTGGAGATGAAGAGCTTAAAAGCGTTGGCATAAATACAGCACATTGGATGTTTGATATCTGTTGCTCCTGGGTAGCATCTTCACAAAACAGATTTTTTTTTAACTCTCTCTCTCTCTCGAAGCCATTTGCATGTACGGATGCTTTTAAGGCAAGTTAAGAAATGGAAAAGTGCCATACTATATTTCATTCAAAGTAGACTTTATAGATCTATTGGGGAAGGGAGATGAGATCTTGTACATCATATAAAAAGAGGGTAAAGCTAGCAGGCAGGAGCCTGTCAGCGGGGAACACGGTCTTCTTAAGATTAACAAGGCAGGCGTAAGCTTGCTACGGAAAGGCCTCTAAGCCCCTCCAGCAGCCAAAGTTCCTGGCACGAAGACCACAACCTACTAAGAGATGGCAGATGGTCTCTAAGAGGGCCAGCTAAGCAGATGAAGCTGGGATTCAGAAGGTCTTGCCAAGAGTTGAGAATCAGAGCTAAGAGACAATCAGTGGACCTCCACCCCAGAAAAGTCAGAGGGAATTCTGGAATTGGAAAAGCTCAACATTGCAGATGCAATGGTAATAATTAGTATCATCATCGCAGTCTTTTAATGACCCCATAATTCCTTGCAGGGTGGAGTCTGGGCAACTAAATGGAGCTCATTGTTTACTGGCTGGATGCCCTTCCTGTCGCCAATGCGGAGATATATTCAGCAGATATACCATGTTTTTCGGAGTATACGACACACCTTTTCCCCCCAGAAAAGAGGGTGAAAATCTAAGTGTGTCTTATACTCTGAATACAGCATTTTTGGCCTCACGAAACCCTGCCCCCTTCACAAAAATGGACATGCAGAGGATTTTGGGAAGCCTGCAAAGTGTTCCTGGGGAGGGCAAAAATGAGTGGAAAAAGGGCCATTTTTTGCTCTCCCCCCCCCATTCCCAGGAACACTTTGTAGGCTTCCCAAACCCTCTGCATGCTCCGTTTTCCACAAGAAATGAGGCATGCAGAGGGTTTGGGAGGTCTGCACAGTGCAAAAACTTTTTTTAATTTACCTCTTCAAAATCTTAGTGTGTCTTATACTCCAAAAAATACGGTAATCTCAATGTGCCAGAGAGAGAAATATCTGCCTCTGCCTAGGATCGAACTCACAGCTCCACCTCTAGGCCAGCGCACAACTCATGAGGGTAACTTGTATGCTGTTGTAAAACATGTGAGAATGGCCTTGGGAAACAGGAGCAAGGCTGTAGCCAGGGGAACCATCGGACAAGAGGTTGCTTAGTCCACAGAAGAAATAGGGATGTGATAAATGTCTCACAAGAGACCATCTCTAGTTTCATGGGGTAGCAAGGCAATGCAAGAGAAATTTATTTTCTCAGACTTGCAAAATTCTGTTAATGTAACTTTATGATAAAGTTGAATTAATTCACCTGGGTGAGCTTCCTGTCTGGGCTATCTCACATGGTTGACTTTGATCTTGCAAGTCTGAAGGTCCTTTTCTCTCCCATCATCTTTGCAGCTCAAGACACTTAGGAGGGTCCCTTCCGAGATGTTTGCCAAGCCCACATTTCTTTTGTGGGGGAAGCAGCCTCTTGTCCAACCCCTTCCCCGGACTTTGGCTCCTCCCCTTTTCCCAAGGTCATTCCCACCTACAGCATCATGGCACACACCCAACTCTCAATGAATTTGGATGGCTGACAACAATCAAGCAAATAATAAATAAATAAATCAAAGATAAAAGGGACAGATGGCAAGCATGATGAAGTGTGGGATCTCCGTTTCCCTTATAGATTGTTCAACAATCTAACCAGTGGAACAACTAGCCTCCAGAAGTTGTAAATGCTCCAAGTTTTTAAGAAGAGGTTGGACCACCATTTGTCTGAAATGGCATAGTTTCCTGCCTGAGCAGGGAGTTGGACTAAAAGACCTCCAAGATCCCTTTTAATTTTTCCAATTTTCTATTATTCTGGATGACCTCAGCCAATCTCCTAGGTAAAGGTAAAGGCTCCCCTTGCACATGTGCTAGTCATTCCCGACTCTAAGGGGCGGTGCTCATCCGTGTTTCAAAGCCGAAGAGCCAGCACTGTCCGAAGATGTCTGCGTGGTCATGTGGCTGGCATGACTAAATACCAAAGATGCATGGAACGCTGTTGCCTTCCCACCAAAGGTGGTCCCTATTTTTCTACTTGCATTTTTTTTACGTGCTTTTGAGCTGCTAGGCTGGCAGAAGCTGGGACAAGTAACGGGAGCTCACTCCATTATGTGGATTTGAACCGCCAAACTGCTGACTTTTCGATCAACAAGCTCAGCGTCTTAACCACTGAGCACTATGTCCCTCTCCTAGACAGCCCCCCCAAATGCAGAAATTTTTCAAATGTTGGGCTCTGGCTAAAAATCAGCTGTCACGTCAACTTTTCTCTCTTAATGTTAAACTGTTGAGCACCCAAAATCAAGAAGTTCTGCATTTTCCGCCTTCATCCCCACCCTTGCTGTGTTAGCTCTTGTTCCGTGTGACTGGCTGGTAAGAGGTAGTGAAAACCAAATGGTGGTAACTTGGGCCTACACTTCTGGAGCGGGAAGTGGAGTGCGACTGTTGCAGACTGAAGGTTACTGACTGTTGTTGGCATCAGAATGGGATGCTAGAGGCCCCCATGTCAAAAAATAAAGTGTGAGGCTAGGAGAGAAATTACATTCGGTATAATTTCTCTTCCAATTTTTAATAGTAACAAATGGTAAATAGAATTGCTCAATAGACCAATATTAAATCACATTTAAAAAATTACAATGGCAATCTTGGGCCACCTGTTGTGTGTTTCTCAACACTGAACTGATACTAAACCTGTAGTCCTCAACTTACAACCCCAACGGAAACCCACATTTCAATTGTTAAGCAACAGAAGTGCATATAGTCAATCTATGGTTTTCCCACTTCTATGGTTTTCCCACTTGCAATGTTGGACCATAAGAAAGGCTGAGCACCAAAGAATGGAGGCCTTTGAACTCTGGTGCTGGAGAAGACTCCTGCAAGTCCCTTGGACTGCAAGGTGATCCAACCAGTCAGTCCTAGAGGAGATCAACCCTGAATGCCTTTTAGAAGGCCAGATCCCGAAGATGAAACTCAAATACTTTGGCCACTTGATGAGAAAGG